TGTATTTCAAGATCTTATCTGTATTTTTAGTAAGTTTCCCAAGGCCCAAAGTTGGGACTAGGTTCTGGTGGTTCTTTAGTCCAGGAAGGCATTGTCATTCATTTGTTCAATGAGCAGTTTTTACTCACTTATTATATCCCAGGACTTGAGGACAAAAAAATAAGACTACCTTAAAGTTTCACAGTCTACCAAGGAAGCCTTTATATCCAAAGAGTATGTACCCAGTACTTCTCTAGCACAGAGGAAAGCTGTGATGATTGATTTGTGACATAAAACAGTATTTTCTAGATGGGTTAGTGGCCTTTGAAGCATAGGACTGGCATTAGCAAAAGTATACAAAGGGAAAGATTTCATGGTATCCTTGAGTTCAATGTGACTTGAACTCCTGGGAAGTGGGATGTGGAAGGAGATGGCTGGGATGAAGTTAAAAATGTAGTGTTTCAGATGTCATGTGTGGATGCCATTCATAGTGTGGATTTTCTCAGTATCTCCAGTATCAGAACCAGGTCTGATGAAGAGGTTAGTTCTTCTCATTAACACTCGATCAAACAGAGTTAAACACACAGATCCCAGTACCTCTGCTTCCAGAGCCCTCATGTGGCTGCACGTTTTGCAGTGCATGGAGCTGTGAGAAGCAGTTGAGCCAACAACTAGTTCATCTCATGCCTTTCTTTTCATAAGCTTGTTTTTCCTTCAGTGTATATTATGACCTCATTATTGCTGTAGGGCAACTCAGGTACATCTTTTATGTGTCTGCTTTTAAATATTTACACATGTACGTGCATAACTATAATATCCACACACACTGTCATAAAAAAGCTATAATTAATAGGTTGCTGTTCAAAACAGTGGGTTTTTTTTTAGCAGTCCAGTAGCTCAGAGAGAGTGCATTTCAAGGAGTGGTGTTTGAGCTGGTCCTTGAAAGAAGAGAGGAATTTGGATGTTCTGAGATATGGAGCTGGGACTATTAAAGAAGCACAGAGTGGAGAGGAGAAGGAATTTGGAAGGATACAGAGGTAGAAAAATTGGAGGGCCACTCAAGAAATAGTTTTGCAGGAGAATCTGTTGCACAAAGAGAGCAAGAAGGAATAATACCAGAGAGGTGGTTTAAGGGTGACAGCCTGGAATGCCAAGCAAAGGACTTTGGCAATATTATAGCTCCTGAGTTAAGAGGGATAACTATGGGAAACTACGGGATAGATAAGGAATCTCAGTCCCTAGTTATTCTAGGTATTCTCTCTAAGGCAGAGACTGAAGGCAGGGATTTCAGCTTGGATTCTTCCCCTGGGAGAAGACTAGATATAAAGCTAAATATAAGAATTTTATCCAAGCTCCATTAAGACGATCACACCATCTTAGGTCACCAAACTCTCTGAAGTTGCCAGAATCTACTTGAATTTATCACCCTGAAGGGCATGTTATTATACTGGTTTTCCCAGAGTTTGCTTTGTTGATGGATAAGGGACAGAATTTCAAGGAACAAAGATGAATCTTCTCTTGAATCCACAAGTGATATACTCCCTACTCCCCAAGCAATAAATTCCCATTTCCTAAATTAGTGTCTGATCTTGACCCACATTCCAGCTTCACCACCCAGGCAAAATGGTCCATGGAAATGTCCCCTGGTTTCCAATCTCTGCCTTTGTTCACTATGTTTTTTTCTTCTGCCATTCCCTACTACATTTGCTTCCCTCTTTAAATTCTGGGCTCTGCTTCTCAAAATAACTCACATGCTCCCTTCTCCATAAAAATTCCCTGATCTCCCGAGAAGAAATGCTGCCTTTCAGGTCTGAGTCTCCACAGCACATTGTCTGCAATTCTCTTTTGGCAATTTTTACCCCTGTAGTACAAGACATTTGCATTTACTTTATCTCCTATGGATGTCAAATCCATGAAGCCAGGATATATATATAATATATATATTGTCCACCAAGTCTTAAGCACAGATTGTTTAAAAAAAAATCTCAGCTGAGTTTACATAGCTTGAGTAAGAGGAGGGAGAAGTGGAGGGAGAAGAATTTAATCTCAGCTTTATCTCATTCTGACATTGGCCCTCTTAACCACTTCTGCATCAATTTTTGCTTTTCAAAGTTCCCAGTAGAATGAGTACCAAGTCTTTGTTGGTTAAAGAAAATACCCACTCATGTGATTTTTGCAGTCTATTATAGAGAATATGATTGACATATTTACCTTTGTTATGATTTTTATCACTGGACAAAGTAATGTTTGGAAGGGCATTCAGGCCTTTTCAAACATAAGGCATTTATTTATCACTTATTTGAGCAAACTAATAGGATTGATAAGGTATAAATACTAGTGCTCATTTTATTGATGAAGAGACTGAGGTGCAGAGACATTAGGGGATTTATCTGATATAATTATTGCTGGGAGTGGGATGAAGACTAAAATGACTCAACTTCTTTTTTTTTAAGATTTTATTTAAATTTATTTGTCAAAGAGAGAGAGAATGAGAGAGAGAGCACAAGCAGGGGGAGTGGCAGGCAGAGAGAGAAGCAGACTCCCTGCTGATCAGGGAGCCTGATGCAGGACTTGATCCCAGGATCCAGGGATCATGACCTGAGCCAAAGGCAGACACTTAACCAACTGAGCCACCCAGGCGTCCCATAAGGTGACCCAACTTCTATCAATCTTTTTCTGGCCATTGTAAATTGATATGCATACCTTCACCACCAATTACATGGAAAAAAAAATAGATTCCTTACTATATTGCATCATATTGATAGCAGAATCATAGATATTTAAGATATAAATGAAAGGAAAATAGAAGCAACTAATGTTTATTAATTATCTTTTATGTGACAGATTCTTTACAGAGATTACAGCACATCCTTTGAAAAATGTTAGAAAGTAAGTATTATTGTTCTCATTTAATAGATGAAGAAACTTGGTCTGATAGAGATTAAGTAATTTGCCTATAGTCACAGAGCAAGAAAATAGCAGAACCTACATGAGGGCTTCTTTCTAAATAGTCTAAAGCCTGAATATTTGCCATTATTAGCCAGAGTGGCAAGCATATAGCCCTTGGGTCAGTTTTTGATTCTATCATTAACTTTGGATACAACAATCAATTAAGAAAAAAAGTTGTCCTCCAGTAGGAGGGTCACTGAATAGAGATGCAAAAATGAGACTCAAAGGTCTTCCTGATTCTAAAACAACTACTCTTTCAATTATAATGTATACTTGGTTTACATTATAGTAGTTAATGTAGTTAATGAGATAGGAAAGCTCTATTTTCTTATTTATCACACATCATGTAGATTTGCACATTAGATTATAAAAAAAAGTCACTGAAGGCTGAATCTCTAGACTGTTTCTGGACTGCCAGCTCTACATCTGTCCATTAGTTGTTGTATTTTCTTCATAGTGTGACACCGGAAATATGTTTTTAGAAATTCATGATATGGCTGTGCAATTTTGCACCAGGTAAATTTCATCTCATGTATAATGATACCCATTAGAAAGCCCGGTAAATCCTGGGTCTTTTATCCCTAAAACTCTTTTGTGCCTTTCACAATGAATGGGGACATTATACACTTTAGGATAATTTTTGTGTTTCCCTGACCTTTGACTATATTGCACTGGGGGAAAGGGGGAGATAGGAACATTATTGCTTGGAAGTATTTTAACTGATGGTGTGATGGAATTTTAGCAACTTACCTTTCCCCCTTCTCAGTCCGCCCCTTTACCTGCTGCTGATACCTGACTCTTGTTTTTTAATTCAAGATTTGTAGCCTTGAGAACATGCAGAGAGGAATTTTCTCCTTTATTGTCAGTCATCGATACCTCAGGGTTAATGAAACTGTTCTTGGATAAGGGCCTGGGAATAATGGTGGAAAGCATGAAGAGTCCCACTGCCCCAGGAAAAGGCCAGGGTTTAACTCATATTGGAAGAGAGGGAGAGGGGCGCCTGGGTGGCTCAGTCGGTGAAGCATCTGCCTTCGACTCAGGTCATGATCTCAGCGTCCTGGGCTCGAGCCCTGCGTTGGGCTCCCTGCTCAGTGAGGAGTGTGCTTCTCTCTCTCCCTCTGCCACTCCTCCTGCTTATGCTCTTTCTCTCTTTCTCTCTCTAATAAATAAATAAAATTTTAAAAAAGGTAGTATAGAAGAGAGGGAGAGAAAGGCATAGGGGATTTGGGATGGGAGAAGCAGGACATTACAATCTGGCTAAAATTGGCCTCAGGGATTGATCCAGGTTGCATCTTTCTTGGGATCCCAGAGTCCCTGGGCTTCCCTGAAGGCTAAAATGATGTCGGTATGTGAAGTTAACAAAACCCAGATGCCCACCTCCGAAAGAGATCCAGTCATTATTAGGTGAAACCAACCACTAGACGGAAAGGAAAACTGAGGACACCCAGTTAGCAGCAGAGCCTAAGTCTGCAGCTCTTATTCTTGGGCTTTGCAGAGCTCATGGTTTTACCATTGGTGGCAGCAGTTTCAGGGAGATAGTACAGTAACTGGAAACACAACAAACTCTTCATGGGCAAATGCATGTCTTATGTTTGTATCCTCCAGAACCTGGCACATAGGTAGCACTTAGAAGTTTTTGCTGAATATATGAACGGATAGCTCCTGGGCTAAGTTAGGGCATCTCTCGTACTAGCTCCATTTCTGTGACTTGCTTTTAGAGTAAGTCATTTGGATCTGTCATTCCTCATGATCTTGAAAAAATATACTTTAGGGTGATTGGCTATTTATTTTTCCTTTCGAGTTTTGTCTCCATTTCTAAGCAACAGGTGAGCCAAAGTCAAGTAAAAAACAAATGCATCTAGCTCAGCATACTTTTCAAAAATATTAATTTATATTTCCTTCATATCAGAGTGTTAAGAGCTATAGAAAACCCTACAGAATTTAAGATTGACATGGCAAGTAGATGGTAGCTGAGCAGTGTTTATTAGAAAATTATCTACATTTCCCGTCTCCTGCCACTGCCCTTTGACCACCATCACTTATCTGTGGTAATAAGAAATTTTCATGTTTTGTTACTCTTGGCATTTTTTTCCAATTAGTCTTTTGAAGGCAGCTTTCACATCCTTGTTCTGTAAACTGTAGATCAAGGGATTCAGCATGGGAATGATAACAGTGTAGAACACAGAGGCCCACTTGTCTTGGTCCAGGGAGTAGCTGGTTGTTGGTCTCAGGTACATAAACATGACTATGCCATAAAAAAGGGTGACACCAGTAAGGTGAGACCCACAGGTGGAGAAAGCCTTAAGGTGGCCTTCAGCAGAGTGCGTTCTGATGATTCTGATGAGGATGAAAGCATAGGAGATGAAGATGATGAGGATGGTGCTGAATTCAATGAAGCCACACATACTAAACAGCATAATCTCGCTGATGTAGGTGTCTGAGCAAGAGAGGGCCAAGAGAGGTGTGATTTCACAGAAGAAGTGGTTGATAATATTGGAACCACAGTAACTCAAACTGAAGGTGAGGGACGTGAGGGCCACTAAACTCACCAGGCCGGCCAGGTAAGAGCCCAGCATGAGAGCCAAGCAGACTTGCTTGGACATAAGAGTGCTATAGTGGAGGGGTCGGCAGATGGCCACGAAACGGTCATAGGCCATGGCAGCCAGGACATAGCACTCAGCATCCACAAAACCTACAAAGAAAGCAAACTGGGTGGCACAGCTAGAGAAGGAGATGACTTTGTGCTCTGTTAAGAAGTCAGCCAACATCCTGGGGGCAATGGCTGAGGAGTAGCCCAGGTCAACAAAAGAGAGGTTGCAGAGGAAAAAGTACATGGGTGTGTGAAGCTGAGTGTCTGTTATGATCAGGATAATCATACCAATGTTCCCTACTACATTGACCAGGAAGACCAAGAGGAAGACCACAAAGAAGATGATCTGCAGCTGAGGGTCTTGAGTGATGCCCATAAAGATGAACTCCGGCACCACTGAGTGGTTTTCTTTATCCATCTTTTCAGTTTTATGTGTGCCTGGATTTGGTTTATTGTTTGAAATGATTTTTAAAAATCTTCCCAGAAATCAGATTCTATGAACCATGGGGTAACTCAAATGACTTTAATGAAAGTGATGGGTATGTGTCTTCTCCAGGTGCCCAATCAAAATAGAAGATGTTAGCATCTTGGGGATGGCAAATTCTCCTTCTCCATAGATCTTGGTGTTCTGAGGCAATTTATCACATGCAACCAAGTGTTTGACGTGATCTGTGCAATTATTGGCCTTATTAATTAGTAAAGGACAGTTTTGAGCATCCCTTCTTTCTTTCTAAAACAAAGCAAATGGCATAAATAATGAATAAACATTAATTCTCTTTACAGGTAGGCACAAAAAGAAAACTTAAAAACCCTTAAATCTCAAATTATAACACATCTCACACACACACACACCACACACACACACACACACACACAGAGAAAGTAAAATACTTGGAGCAGAAGGTGAGCAATATTGGAAAGGCAGTGGGTAATAATAATTTTTAAAAAGCCAGGAGTTACTGAATGTTAACTATTTGCCAGAACTTTGAGTGCTTCTATACATTACATAATTTCATCCTGACAACTCTGTGAAATAGGTACCACCATTATCTCTATCTTATACCTGAAAAGAATAAGGCTAGATATTAAGTAATTTCAACAAAGTCAGGAGCCTGTATGTAAGTAGTGGAGCTGGGTCTGTCTGACTCTAGAGTTCACTTAATTTTATTGTCTTCTGTGTATATGGGGTTTAATGAATCTCTTTATTCTTGCACCTCTTTTTTGTTTTCCTGTCTTGCCTATCATGCATGGACACAGAATTAGTCCTTTCATTTCCCTAATATTCAGAAGCACCAGGGATTTGGCATGGGGCATCATCAGGATGAAAACACAGCTGTGTCTTTGGACAATTCCGTTGCTTAGCCAACAGGTTGTTGCATAACTCAGTTCAGAGTTTAAGATTCAGGATCCTTTGCCCAGAGGGGATAGAGAAAGCATTATCCAACTCTGTGGTCAGACAGCAGCATGTATTAGCTATTTTCTTTGTGGTTGGATGAATATTTGGTCCATTGATGAGTTGTAACAAGGAAGCAGGAAAAACCACACGAAACCAAACCAAATCGAGCCAGAACACACAGTACTTTAGAAATAAGTAGCATTCTCTATTAAATTTGAGGTAGAAGTCAGACTGTTTGATGCCAGACTGCTGTAGTTTCAGGGGTGAGAGACTCCTGGTCAGAACACAGCACAGGGCTCAGGGCTGATCCGCAGCTGAGCATGTGCCCACGAATTCGTTTCAGTGAATTGGAAAATGGGATCAGAAAGTCATTCTTTCCTCCCCTATAAATTCAAGGTTCCAGTTAAAAGAGGAAGTATATGAGAAGGGGTTTCACCAATCATAAAGCACCCTGCTTGTTCTCGCTTATAGTGGACAGACAAATCCAGCCTTTGCCACTTACTACTTTTGATTTCTAGCACACTGCTTATCTTTTTAGAATCTCAGCTTTTCACTTATGGATGAGATTAATGCCTATCTCAATAACTTTCTGCAAAAACGTTGGTTAGAGTACATATGTATATTCTGTCATCTATCTATCTATCATCTATCTATCTACCTATCATCATCTATCTATCCATCATCTATCATCTATCTATCATCAATTATCAATCAATCATTTGGTGCTAAATTCAGTGACTGTCATGCTAAATGCTTGGTGCATTTAGCAATTGTGTCAGTGCAAGTGTAATTGTGTAAGATGTAATTCGGTAGATGGTTGTGTGCTCACAATCCCAGGAAAAAAAGTTCCCATGCTTATTCCATACATGTGATGTATCATGGACTACTTTAACCTTTAGTGAAGGTGTGATTTTAATTCCACAGAACTTCAATTAAATGATAAAATGAGCAGAGATAAGGCTATCAAATTCAAAATCAGAGTTAAGATAGAAGAAAACCTTTATATATAGATTTTTAGTCTCATGTAGCTAAACTTCAACCGACCTGACTCTTGAAGAAATAGTAGACTAGTGAATAAATAAGTATATTCCATAGTTAATAAACTCTAATATAAAAAGAAGACCAGCAAAAGTATTGTCTTAAGGAAGCAATACAGGACAAATATATTTTAGATTTCTATGCATCAGCTGCTTTTGCATGTTTATATGAAAAGAATTCTGGAGTAAAAATATGGAATCCTGGTTGTGGTCCTGTTTTTTTTCCATTAAGTAGTTGTTCGGGCTTGATGAATTGCTGCATTAGATGCAGCTTCCTTATCTGTGAAATGAATAGGGCAAAATATTCAAATTCTATGTAACTTTCCAATTCTAGCATTTTCTGAGTTTGTACTTATTACAAGGTACTTAAAAGCCAAACCCATAGTCCTTGTCTCCTTTTGAAATTTTGAAATGGCACAGACCTGAAGCCAAGCAAAGCCATGCTCAAAGGAGCTGGGGGCAGGGTCATGCTCCACCCCTAATAGGTCATCTCTTTCTCTATCTGTCCCAATGCTGACCTGTGCCCTGACTTGTTTTCTACTTGCTGGTGAGAGGTTGACTGTCTCCTCTTTGCTTGATGGGTTATAATGAACACATTTCTGAGAAGAATCCGAAGATGGTAACTCACTCAGGTAACTGTGCCTGAGCTCCTTGCTCACCCACCTTTGCTCCTCTGTGCAGGAGCTTTATCAAGTTTCAGAGTCACACGTTATCCCCAGAGGAACAGGGATGACATGATTTCCGCACTTCACAGGAGACTGGAAGAACTGATGAACTATCACCCCTAAGGAATTCACTCTCTTGTCCTTGAACCTTAATGATAAAAGAGGGAAACACAGGGGAGTTCTTTTCCACCACTCCAGTGAGTGGTGGTGATTGAGTCAAGAAGAGCTGCATGCACAGTTTTTCTGGCCTTTAATAGCTCCCTACCAGGTGGTGATTTTGATGGCAATTTAGAAAAGTCTGTTGATGCCTGAAAGTCCTTTCACAAAGGGTGATACCTTCCATGTTATATGGATTAGCCATCTTTATTTATTTATTTAAAGATTTTATTTATTTATTTGCCAGAGAGAGAGAGAGAGAGCACAAGCTGGGGGAGTGGCAGGCAGAAGGAGAAGCCAGCTTCCTGCTTAACAGGGAGCCTGATGTGGGACTCGATCCCAGAACCCTGGGATCATGACCTGAGCTGAAGGCAGATGCTCAACCGACTGAGCCACCCAGGCATCCCTGGATTAGCCTTCTTTAAACTAGACTTTAATCTGAGAGAGTCTGGCATAAGGGTGGCATATGAGTACATAAAATGCATATGAGAGATGACATATGAGTCGTTTTAGCTTCCCATTCATGAAGAAAAAGGGAAATGAGCAGTTATAAGATTCAAAAGCTCCTTAATTTGGAAATGCTATTTGACTTGAGATAAATTTTTATCCTAAAAGAAGAGATTCAAGAATAAAATAAAAAATAAAAAAGGAAATTAAAAAACCCTTTTTGCAATATGTTTCCCCATTCTTTCACTTTTCAGCCCATTCTTTCACTTTTCAACCCTTAACCCTGAAGTGAGCTCTTATAGGCAGGAGATGGTGGATCTTATTTTTCTCACCCAACTTTGTTTACCTGTATCCTTAAATCTTATTTTATGATGAAAAGTTAGTTCCTAATAACATTGACATATCCACTGATTTATAATATTTATTGTCAAGTCAAACTTCTCTCCAACTGTATAATAATCTATTATGTGGAGGTACCATTGTCTATTTACCAAGTATCCTGTTGATAGACATTTGAGTTGGTTCTGATCTTTTACTATTAGAAGAAAAAAATGCAGGGGCGCCTGGGTGGCTCAGTCAGTTAAGTTTCTGCCTTCAGCTCAGGTCATGATCTTAGGGCCCTGGAATCGAGCCCCATGTCGGGATCCCTGCTCAGTGGGGAGTCTGCTTCTTCCTCTCCCTCTGCCCCTCCCCCTGCTTGTGCTCTCTCTCTCTCTCTCTCTCTGTCAAATAAATAAATAAAATCTTAAAAAAAATGCAGCAATAAATAACTTTGGGCATATCCAGCTGTCAATTATCTTTTTTCAACTGTTTTGAATTGAATTTTTCATTTCATTTAATATTGTCTATATGTGTATTTTTCCTTTCTATTCCCTTGTTCTTTCACCATTCTATACAATTCATTCATCAATAATTTTTTCAATTATAAGTTCCCTTATACACCAGTATAATCTAGTCCCCATCTCCATTTGTTCTCTTTTGTTTTTTTCCAGGGTTTCCATGGCTATAATAGAATATTGTTTTTAATTTTTACATAAACTTTATAGTCAACTTATTTGGGAAACAAATCTGAGGATATTATTATTGGGACTACATTAAATTTATAAATTAACTTAGGGAGAATTGCCACATTTATGCCCTCAAGTCTTGCTACCAAATAGTGTGTATGTCTTCATACTTGTTCAAGTCTACTTCTGTATCTCTCTGTTACTCTTTTTCTTCACAGAAGTTTTGAACATTTCTTACTTGGTTTACGCTTAGATCTTTTATGTTTGGCAATCAAAAATGGGGATCTTCTCTTCCACATACATCTTCTAACTGGAGATTTGTTTGTTTATATGAGGTTATTAGGTTAATTTTACATTTTACTAATTTACTTAATTTTTTATTTTTTTTAGATTAATAGTATAGTAGTGGTAAAAGTAGCATTTTTATGTATGGTGTGCTATAATGTAGCTGCATCTTATGCTGCCCAAATAAATCTTTAGTTAAAATGAAATGAGCCTCCAAAGCTTAACAAGAGAATTCTCTTCTTGGTTATGACAGATTATGTAAAATCTATTTGGATGAAACTCTTGGTGGCTAGTGAGAGGTATGTAACTATCCCCTGGGATAGTGGATATGTATTCTTTCAGAAACAAATGACATATTTTTATAGCAAATAGTTTATATTGTCCCTCTATGTTCCTGAAATGGCATTCATAGATAACTTACCTGC